GGCAACAACGGAGCCAAACAAATTTGGGACATTTGTTGAACCCCCAAGTTGACCCGCTTGGGTAAAAGCTGCAGCCAGACCACAAGGAGCCCAAATTAAATCAGAGCCTCAGCTGCAGGAAGCTGAAAAGAGCTAAAAGCAGGCTAAAAGCGGAAAACTGACGCCCGACCAGGGCTTATCTCCACTTGGATCGAAGTCGGGTGGGCAGACCAGATCGGGATCGGGAGGTGATCTCTCGAGGGGAAGTGAAGGGGAAAGTGGAGTTGCTCACACATGGCTAGATCAAAAATAAAAATAAAAACTGAAAAACTGAAGCCGGCTGCCTTGGCCGGGCCAACATCATCAAAAGCTCAACCGAAGTGGGGCGTGGCGCAGCCTTGTCAGCACGATCAGGCCTCCAATCGGTGGCTTGTGCAATGAGCTCTATATAAATGTTATTTTCCGAGTAATAAATTGCATAGAAAACATTCATTTAAGTTATAGCGCCCCGCTGCCGCTGCAGAGGAGCAGAACTGGCAATTAAGACGTCACCTAATGGGCGCGAGCGAGAGCAGCAGCTCCCTGACAATATGGCGTTCGATAATCGCCGCTCCCCCTCCCACTTCAAGCCCCCCTTCCCCTTCCCCTTTCCCCTGCGAAACAATTAATGGCGCCCGAGCGGGCCTCTTTTCGCACTCTCACATTTGTCAAGTGCAGAAAGGGGGAGCCAAAGTCGCGCCCTTGGCCCTCTGGCTTTTCCACAGGACAAGAGCGTCCACTGAGCAAAAAATCTCTAAGCAAAGCAAGGAAACTTTATTTTAAGTGTTTAAAATATGTTGTAAACAGAAAAAGAAAATGCGTAGGCTTGTTACAATAAAAGGTTTTGTATATAAGATGTCTAAGTGTCTTGTAGGCACAAAAATCAACTGAGGATATGTAAGAGGAAAAATCCAATTCTAAACTATGCGGCCGAAGCAAGGAAACAATACTATTAATTTGTTTCAAGATAATCACTTAGCTTGTTTCTTCACATAAATATTTTTGTTTAGTTTATGGCATGGCATCGGAGCAAAAAAATATATATTTTATTAAGTCAGATATGGTTTTAAAATTGTTCTAAGCAACAATTTAGGAAAGCTCATAATTTGTAAAAAGATAATCATTTGGATACACAAATTAATACTTACGGCTATGTTTTATTTAAACAGAGGGGATAATCGACCTCTTTAAAGGTGCTTTGACCACCTTACTTTAAATTGATTTTAAAGTGTTTGTGTTCCGCCAAATATTGACTATTTTTAATATCTTTCTGATGTTTCCTATGCACCGTTTCTTCCAGTGCATGCTGCCTTGATTTGTTTGGTTAGCAGACCTTTCCTTCAAAACCATATCGCTCTGCGCATGCGCGCACTCATACCCAGCGGGAAAGTGGGAAGTAGGTTTTTTTGTCCTGAAAAAACCAGTGGAAAACCTACTGCTTTTAGCAGGCGTAGGGGTAGGGATAGATGAAAACCTACTTCTTTTGGCAGGCGTTGGGAAGGGGTAAATAATTTCGGACCGCTAAATGGGGTGGGTTTCTGAATATGACCATAAGTTACAACGAAGTTGTGACTAATTATTGTCTTTCTTCGGAATGTTGTTATAAATTATGTTATGATGCACGGTCACATCAGCATAAAATTTCGTGCAAAAAGTGTAAAAAGTGAAAAAACGTTGTGTTAATCTTAAAAAACAAGATAAAGGTATGTAAGTTATAACATAAATATTTTTGTTTGTATATCCTTATTTCAGCGTTACGGATATGATGAGCATAGGCATTTGTACTAAAACTAAATATAAGCCGCCAGAGGCGGTTGTCAATTAAGTAAGTTTTTTATTTAAATTTATTTTTCTTGTAAAAACAAACAATGTTTTTTTTTAGAATTTGTAATAGATTCGACTTCAAAGATTTTGGCTCTTGTGTTAATATTAATCTGAACCTGCGCAAGCGGACAATTTGATTTCGTCATTTGAAGAACTCGGCCACTTGGACTCCGATGCCGAAGCCAATCCAGAAGCATTTGTAAGTACTCACTACATTTTTAATAAATATCAATAGCCATGCTTGTTACTATGTAATTACATTTTTTTTAAATTCATATAATAATTTCTCCAACGTACTGTATGGTAAGTATACTTGTTTTTCTAAATTTCTCTATTTTTCCCAATACTTTTTATATATTTTTTGATTTGTATTAATATGTTAAATATTAATATATTATGGTTTTTATTTTCAGAGTCACTCAGAAACGACAATTACAGTCTTCGCCAATATCAAGATGATCTGCGTTCATCGTTCACTGAGGCAAAAAATATAATATACAAAAATACTTATGACAAAGGTCCTTGGACTGTATATAGATTAATAAATGCATATACCAAATTAAAAAGTATTGTTTTTTACATGTGGAAATTCTGTAAAGCGGGAAGGCCAAAACCCAGTGGATTTTGGCCTGCATTCAGCAGCCGTAGGTCCAGTGGATTTTGCCCTGCAATCAGCAGCCGTAGGTCCACTGGATTTTGCCCTGCTTTCAGCAGCCAGAGCATCCACAGGATTTTGCCCTGCATTCAGCAGCTGTAGGTCCACTGGATTTTTCCCTTTACCCCTTCATTTTTGTGTCACCCCCGTGTATTTTGAAAGGAGAGACGGCAAAAATGTAAGGGGTAAAGGGGTTTTTCCACATTCCGCTTGTATGAAGAAAGCACAGGAAAATAGTATATTTTCCACACCTTTTCCCGCTGGGTATTCCTTGTTCTGCTGTTTGTTTTCGTGTATTTGTATTTGTGTTTGTGTTTGAGTTTGGGCTCGCATTTGTGTTTGTCCTCGGAGCAACCCAGCGGGAAAAAAGGTGTGGAAAATATACTATTTTCCTGTGCTTTCTTCATACAAGCGGAATGTGGAAAAACCCCTTTACCCCTTACATTTTTGCCGTCTCTCCTTTCAAAATACACGGGGGTGACACAAAAATGAAGGGGTAAAGGGAAAAATCCAGTGGACCTACAGCTGCTGAATGCAGGGCAAAATCCTGTGGATGCTCTGGCTGCTGAAAGCAGGGCAAAATCCAGTGGACCTACGGCTGCTGATTGCAGGGCAAAATCCACTGGACCTACGGCTGCTGAATGCAGGCCAAAATCCACTGGGTTTTGGCCTTCCCGCTTTACAGAATTTCCACATGTAAAAAACAATACTTTTTAATTTGGTATATGCATTTATTAATCTATATACAGTCCAAGGACCTTTGTCATAAGTATTTTTGTATATTATATTTTTTGCCTCAGTGAACGATGAACGCAGATCATCTTGATATTGGCGAAGACTGTAATTGTCGTTTCTGAGTGACTCTGAAAATAAAAACCATAATATATTAATATTTAACATATTAATACAAATCAAAAAATATATAAAAAGTATTGGGAAAAATAGAGAAATTTAGAAAAACAAGTATACTTACCATACAGTACGTTGGAGAAATTATTATATGAATTTAAAAAAAATGTAATTACATAGTAACAAGCATGGCTATTGATATTTATTAAAAATGTAGTGAGTACTTACAAATGCTTCTGGATTGGCTTCGGCATCGGAGTCCAAGTGGCCGAGTTCTTCAAATGACGAAATCAAATTGTCCGCTTGCGCAGGTTCAGATTAATATTAACACAAGAGCCAAAATCTTTGAAGTCGAATCTATTACAAATTCTAAAAAAAAACATTGTTTGTTTTTACAAGGAAAATAAATTTAAATAAAAAACTTACTTAATTGACAACCGCCTCTGGCGGCTTATATTTAGTTTTAGTACAAATGCCTATGCTCATCATATCCGTAACGCTGAAATAAGGATATACAAACAAAAATATTTATGTTATAACTTACATACCTTTATCTTGTTTTTTAAGATTAACACAACGTTTTTTCACTTTTTACACTTTTTGCACGAAATTTTATGCTGATGTGACCGTGCATCATAACATAATTTATAACAACATTCCGAAGAAAGACAATAATTAGTCACAACTTCGTTGTAACTTATGGTCATATTCAGAAACCCACCCCATTTAGCGGTCCGAAATTATTTACCCCTTCCCAACGCCTGCCAAAAGAAGTAGGTTTTCATCTATCCCTACCCCTACGCCTGCTAAAAGCAGTAGGTTTTCCACTGGTTTTTTCAGGACAAAAAAACCTACTTCCCACTTTCCCGCTGGGAAACTGTGAATGCACACGCTCCGCGTTGATTGATGGCATTCATTTGCCACTCGGACAGGGCTACATTAATATCAACAGCGGCAGCCCCATTCCATCTCTGATGTCCTTCCCCCCCTCATCATCCCGAGGGGCGTTACAGTTGCCCCAAGGGCGAGTGTGGGGGTGGGGTAGGAGGTATAGAGGGGGAGGGGAGGGGTTAGGAGCCTAAGGGGGCAGGCACTTCAAGGCTTTGTGTGACTATAACTATTCGCCGGCGAGAGTGTTTGCATAGCTATCCACGATCCAAGATCAGACACAAGTCCACCATCCACTCTTCAAGTTGAGCAGTAACCAATTGGCTGACTTCCAGGAATGCAACGCCTCTTTATTTATTTTATTGAACTGTCTTATATATTATATATTTGCCATTCTTATTATTAGTTTTTCTTTAAGAATAAGCCAATAAATTTGTAAAAGCTGTTACAGTTTTTATATGTTTAAAACGACATGTCATGTCCAGGCACAAAGAAATACTAATTGTCTTTACTTCAACACAGAAATAAACACAGAAAATAAAACTGCCTCTAGACCAAAAACTACGAAACTAACTAATTTAGAAACTGGATTCATTTAAAAAGATTTTTTAAAAATCGAATGAAAAAGTGATATTAACGTAAAAAATCCACAAAATATATTATATCTTTGTTAGTATTGTTTGCGAACAGTAAGTGGAATTTCGTTACTTTAGAAGTAACATTTTTGGCGTTTGGAATCAATTTTTTAAATAAAGTAAAAACAAGATGAACTTATATATATTTTTTTAATAAGTAAGGTAAAAGTTTTTAAATTTTCTATTTTACTCAGAATATCCATTTAAAAGCATGTGGCATTCCCCATATGAATGTACTCCTGGGTGCCACACACTCGCTCATATGGGCACATCTCCGTCGGTCGACATCGCAGCGGCCTCCATCTTCATCTCAGTCTCCGGCGCAGGCCAACATCATTACTCACTCGCGCTAATCCCAGAGACTCCAACTCCATTCCATTCCACTCGACTCCAATCCTCTGCGCGGCGACCAAGAAAAATCACATGAGCGGCATTTAAAGATTTGGGGCGAGTGGCGCATTTGTGGCAGATGGAAAAGCTGCAACTGCAGCAGCGGGAATTGCGGCAAATGCAGTTGCCACACAACGAAACGCAACATACAACGGCAACGGCAAACTGGCGATAAGCAGCTCGGGAAAACTGGGGACCAACCGACCGTTGGCTTGGCAATTGAGTTGTTCGCCAGCTGGGCCATCGCCATCTGGCTGTGACTTTCGGCTCAAAGGAGCAACTGCTGCTGCTGCTGCTGATGAAGCGGCCAGCTCCTTGCTGCTCCTCTAAGCATGTGCTGCCCGTAATGGCGATGCATTTATTAAAGGCTTTTGTGCGTGCGGGCTCCTGCCCCTCCCCCTTCAGTTCCCTCCCCTTTCCCCACCAGTCCATCCCCTTTAAAAACTCCCCGCTGCTCGCAACGCTCACTTGCTTAATCCATAAATGGAAATTAATGGTTGGCATAAGTGTGCGCGAATGGGCCAATGTGTGTGTAGATCCGCTGAGCCTCTCCATCTCTCCATCTCTCCAACCTCTCCATCTCTCCAACCTCTCCATCTCTTAACTTGGCTAATGGCGCTGGCTAACGGTACTGCCTGAGTGCCACTGCATTTGCATTTGGGCCTGCAAAAATATTAAGACATAAATGTCATCAACAATGATACTGAGCCAGTGGCGTGGGGCCAAGGGGGTTCGCCTGGGGGTGAAGGCTGCGTGGGAGTACCTGCACAGTGGAGCTCACTGTAACGAGTTTTCGGTGTAATTACTTTACGCGAGTTATAAAAGTTTGTTTTGATCATTAATTGCCGGGTTGCTTATATTTGAAAGCCGTAAAAAAATAAAAAACTTTTTGTTATGTTGTCAAGGCTGAAACTTAGTTTAACAGTTTTATACTAAAAAAAATGTTTGTTTTTTAAAAATTATAATTTTCGGTTTACTGAGATGAAATATTTTCCTGAAAAAAAAGGATGGTATGTTAATTTTGTAAAGAGTTTCTTATAGAAAAAACTTAACATGAGAAAACCCGACCCAACATATTTGGAATTTATAGAATTAAATAGATTTAAAATAAGTTAGGTTCAAAATGTGGTATTTAATATATTAAATAATATCTGCGCTTCCTAAATATACTGACTAGAATTTCAATAATACTGACATAGCTATATTTACTTAACTGTTTGTCTTATTTCTCAAAATTATGATTAAAACCTGTATATACCTAAGCTACTAAGTGTAGATTTTAGCTAAGACTTTCATTAAAGCCCGATTCTCCGAATATATTGATTTCCGAGGGCGAGAAAATCAGTGAATGCAAAGCCATAAGTGGGGGAAAACTGAATAATAAAATCAAAAAGTGGCAAACAGATAAACGCCCACCAGGCGAAAAGAATACCAAAAGGGGATCCCTTTTCTTGGGTCATTTAGATGGCCGGTCCGAGGAGCGTATAAAAAATGATACCACAATTTATGGGCGACATCTAATGACGTACAGATGCAACATAGTTGGCGGATTTGCTGCTCCATCTGCTGCATGCGATGCGATGCAATGCAACTGCAACACCATCGGCAGCGAGAGCCTCATAAAACATAATCAAGTTCACATTCAGAGAGACTCAGACGGCCGAGTGAAACCGGGCGACAATGGCAGGCCACATCCTGCCTAGACGACTCCTCCGATCCTACGCCCTCTTCTCCCGGGGACTTTGGAACTCCATCGCCATCGCCATCGCCATCACCCTTTCCGATTCCATCTCCATCTTCAGCTCGATCTCCATCTCCGCCTCGATCTCCGGCTCTATGCAAGATTAATTTCCAGCCATATTGTCATATTCTGGCCGTTGCAGCTGCCGCAGTCGGCGGTTCATGCGAGTTTTATAAGCGTTTTGACTCCATTAACTCTCTGCGGCAGGCTAATTTCCATAACTTCTGCTTCGGCGTTGGGCAGCCCAATTTATCAAACTGCTAAGTGCAGCGAGGTGTGTATTAATTGTCAGCCATTTGGCAATTGGCAATCGAAGTGGAAGGGCGTCTGCGTGGGAGTGGGCGTGGCACATCGGCGTGGGAAGTGCGGAGTGCTCCCATTTGGAATGCCATCTTAATGGTTGTCTAATTGAAAACTCTCTCTGGGGATCATTAATTGATGCTTCAGTTGGATGTTTGGATGTATGATTGTTTGGAGGTTAAGAGAATTGCGCATAAAAGCCATTGGCCTCGAACCGGTTCACTCCGCCAACTAAATTGATTTGAGGGCAATTTATGTAAATTTTTTCAGTTTCGTTGTGTGTGTGTGTGTGTGTTGCCTTGTAACATTTCCATAAGTATTTCGTTTGTTTGCTCGAAAAACACTTTTCTCGGGGCCCCTCGGCCAAGTTCGTTGCCTAAGTCTTTTGTTTGGACCACACACACGCACCGAAGGGCATTGATTTCACTTACTTACCGGCGACCGAAAATGAAACAAGCCCGTTAACAATTTGCACAAAAAACATTTGCGGATTCGGGGGAAATACATGTAAGCCAACTTTCAGTGGGTGGGGAAGGGGGCGGGGGAGGGGGTTAAAAGGGAGAGGCCTGTTCGCATTCAATAAATAAAATGTCAAAACAATAATGAAATGAATTATGGGCGCGCATCAGGCCGAAGTCCGAGGAGCTGCAACTTGGAGAGGATCTGCAACTTGGCGGCGTGGGTCTCCCCACATTGGCAGTGGGGATGGGACGGGATCCCCATTCCTGAGTCCCCCGAACACCGGGCAATTTCTGGCCGCTCTTTTATTTATTGATTTCGTGCGTATGCACAATCAGAGGCTCGTTTGCCCGACCCTCCGGCATTCTGCACTCGGAGCTCGTAATGAAACGAAGTGGATTATCCACGGCCGGCTAACGCCAGCGGAACGCAATCAAAACTTTCGCTGCCAATGCCAAAGTCGAAGCCAAAATGCACAACTGAACCAACTGAGCCAACTGAACAAGCGAACAAACCGAATAAACCGAACCAACTGCACCGAAGAGTCGACGAAAAAAATGCAATTATTTCGATAAAAATGACCGTTTACTGTCGTTTTGTGGATATTGGGAGCCAATTTATGTGCCCTCCGCTCAGGTGGGAGGGAAGTTCAGGGCAGGCAAACATGGGCCATCATTTTGTGGAATATGTTCGATTTGGCTCGTTTCTTTATTTCCTTTTGCCATTGAAACTGGGTCAAGGAAGCGAGGAAATGAGCAAAGTTAAATAAATGTTTGTAGTTATTGAAAGGAAATAAAACGGGGCAAAACATACATTGTTTGGCGAAGACATTGTAAACTACGTAATACATACTTTTTCAGATATAGGTACTATAAGTACAATACGAGAAAAATAAACATTTAGGCGATGGGTCTATCTTATTGGTTTATTTTTCGAAAGAAAGCAATTTTCAGTTGTTATAATCGAAAAGAGTATTGAATGTATGCATTGGTGTTTGTACATCCTCAAGAGTGAGTTTTTTTTTTTTTTTTAAATACGAAATTACCTAGTTTGTGTGCATTTTTCTAAGACAAAACCCAAAGTAGTCCATTACTTACTTACAAACACCTTGCATTTGAAAAAAACACTTACACAACGATTAGTTTCTCCACTTCATACCTAATTTTATTGACTAACTTAAGTGGAATCTGAGTAGCCGGGGTAAGTTGCTCGTTTTATTACGGCTTATTGTTCAGGATTCCCGTTTTTGGATGTAATAAAGCCCATCGTTGTTATGCTTTCGCAATAGATAAATTTGGGACCTGACACGCAGCTTTATTGTTTGGCATTTGAAGTGAAACAGCTTTGGATCATCGGGAATTTCCTCTTTTTATGGATAGTTATCGCATAATCAATGGGACGCTTGGAATAATAATCAGAGCCAAATTGATATTCCCGAAAGTTAACGATGGGCAATAAAACACCCAGCTTCATAACCTATGGCCATAAAAAGTTGATTTGATTTTTGTGTCAATTTAGAGCCATGTCCAAGACAACGGAAACGATAGTTATCGCCGACTCGTGTTTCGGACATCCATTTAACCGATTATTATGTGGATTTTTGGGATGATTTATGCGTTCCGATTTTTATGGTGCACTTAAGTGTCGGCCACTTAGCCATTCTCAGAGCTTTTTTTGTGGGCGAGGGGCGTCACCGCAACGACAAATAAGGCAAACCATTTGAAACGCCCGAAAGCGGAGCGCTTTTTTTGTTGTGAAGAAATATGCTCATAATTTCAATACATTTTGCATATGGCCGAGGCTCATTTGTTGCTCCGCAAATCGCCATTAAAACTACCAGCTACGAATCAGCCGAAAAAAAAAAAAAAAACAGAATATATATATCGCCTCTGACCACGCATGCATATATTAACGACGGCGAGGTACAAAATCGGCGGAGAGTTACTGGTTTTGGTGGCCCTAGGGGTTCAGCATTTCCAACCGGAGCATTCTGATCGTGTAAGGCTTATTTGGATCAAGATAAAAATTATGTATGATCGGGAATCAGTTTGACAACAAAATGCTTTATGTGCGCAGTTCTTAACGCTGCAATTTAACAAAACGGCACATTAAGCCAGAGGGGCGGCGCAGGAATGGGAGGGTAACCCACTTTCCTCCGAACCGAACCAAAACCGAACCGGCAACGTCCGCGGCATGCTAATAAGGGCGGCGCATACTTTTCACCCGGGCGAAAGTACATAAAGTTGAATGGCTCCTTTCCGCTCCCCCTTCCCTCCCCTCCCCCTTCGTGCAGCCCCCCTTTGGTTGCCCCACCCGCATGAACGAAATCGTTCATCATAAACGCTGAGACCGATCGGCAGCCGCAGCATCTCCATCTTCACATCACGGAGTTGTCTTGAATGTCTCCTTGCACTAACAAAAATTTTGAAGCCTTAAGAAAAACTTTATGATCAAAAAATGGCAAATATTATTTACACCTCAGGTGATTTCAAGTTCTCTCTGAAATATCTTGTATTATATTTGTATAGTCCTGAATGAAGATGCCTAACAACTTTTAATAATCAACGATAACAAAGAAAAAGATAGATGCAAAAGATATCATTCATATTACATTAATAAATTATTGTATTACGTTACGTGTATATTTCAAGTTCTCAAACATTCCTTTAAAATATTTAGTATTTAATTTGTATGATAATATGAATGTCTCATTTTAAAAATTAATATTATTTTAACTGTTTTCTTTGAACAAAATATTTATGTTTAACATTTACAAGGCTTACAAATTACATAATATATTGTATTTGTATGTGTTTTTTGTTTCCGTTTTTATTAAGTGCAATAAATGTATTATTTTGTATACTTATATGTACATTTATTTAAATTTTAATTTAAGCATGCATCATTAATTCACAGCATTGCGGTCACAGAAAATATGGTTGTAATGGATCAAGTGCAGTGTTACACCATTTAATAATAATAAAATATAATCACCCGTAATTTGGTTTAATTACCTTGTTTATGTATTTATTTAATTATCTTTGATATTTGCCTTTTGCCCAATTGGTATCTACCTGATCGCTCAATAACAAATTGGCTGTCACCATAAACATCTATCAGGTGACACATGACAGTATAAATTGAATACTAATTCAGTCAAGGTGAACAGCCCGGACGAGAACTACTTTCTCTTCGGATAAGCAAACTCTTTCGCTATTTATTTGTGTTTTTTTCTCGCAGTGAAAGACCTTGTCCTGACTTTGACTCCGGCCTTTGCCTGTCCATATCTGCAACGTCGATCAATGCAAATTTCTGAGCTGATCAAACTGGCCAAGAGCAGCAGAAGCCGGGGCAGCAGCAACAACCTACGCAGCAAAAGCAAAAGCAACAGCAACAGCTTCAGCGGCAGCGGCTCAAGAATTATTATTAAATTCGATATAAATAATATTCGCAACCGCTGTGCTCCCTCCTTTCCCCTCCCAAGAACCCCCTCTTTCAGAGAGTCTGCTGATTAATAAAAGACGGCTGCCGTGGCAGAAGTTCCGAGATGGCCCGCGGTGCTTAAAAATTCTGAGGCATCTGTCAAGCGGAGCGAAGGTGAAGGTTTCGCGCAGGCGCAGCAGGACTTGGTCTGCAGATCTCTTCGAGATTCTGGGGATCTTGGGAAGTGGGGAAGTGGGGAATCGGGGGATCCGAACTGAGGAACTCAAGATCGCGAACCCACAAACGCTTTGCATACGTGCGTGTATGTGACAGTCGCATAATAACGCTTCAATTAAGCCCAAGCGATTCCCTGACACGATTTTCCTTTGTGCCCTGGCCAAAAAGCCCACTGCCAGATGCCTATCAATAAGATCTGACGTCAATTTTGATAAGCGAACGCATATTATTATTGTTATTATTAGCCATCTATACGCCCCACCGATCCCCCTCCCCCTCTTAATAATCAGTGGCGTAGCGAAGGGGGAAAAGGGCGTGAGAGGGGGAGATCTGAAAATCCCTTGGAGCATTTTGTCGGGTAGCTGACCGCGTGGAGCGACGGATATCTGGCCACAATCGACATGTGCCAGCGAAAGATGAAATTCCTGGGAGCATCCACACACACACACACACACACACACACACACACAAAAGCAGCACACCAACACACGGGAAGGAATAAAATAAGAATTATGCTTAAATTATGCAAGGCCCAACAATTTACAAAGTGATCGACCCCCAACCCTTCCGTGGATCCCTTGTCCCCGGACCCCCTTTACATCACGGTGAATGGAGCTTGGAGCAGGAAGACCAGGGCTGCGGAACCCGGGAATGTCGAAGGGAAGAATGGAACTCTCGGGAACCTTGATTATAATCATGATAATTCTCTTTTAAATACGCTCTTTGCAGACCTTGCGAGCACATCATTCATTTAGTAATATCTGCATGGGAGCACCGGTAATTGACTTTAGTTTTGTGATGTTTCACAAAATGTTATATTTTTCCCCAAAATATATATACATATTAGCTTATTAAAGGAAGCTAATAAGGCAAATTTTTTAAACGAAATCTTTTGTACATATACTAAGCTGCCAACAATTTTACAATACATGCAATCATACCATTTGTTATTTTGAATTATAAATATATTAAACGTAGCTATAAAAGTTTATTATGTACACTAATAATTTCTTATTTATTTCGATATTTACATATTTTTTAATTGCCTTAAAAATTACAAAAGGTATTGTTTAATATTGATATGACTTTCTTGCAACCAACTTTGTTTAGAACTATTTTAATGCCTTGTTGTATTGCATCCCTGTGTTGCAATTCGCACAGTGTAAGATCGATTTGTCGACTAGATAAAACATTGACGTTTTGATCGATATTTATGATTCCTTCGCATGAAGAGCTAACCGATGGAGCCGGAAGACCCACAACTATAGCATGTCCTGCAGTCCAAGTGGATGGCGGACAGAAGCCTTTCGATCGCCAAGGAGTGGGAGCAGCAGGAGTGCTGTGTGATTTAGGATTTCATTTGTTAGTTGGAGGCCAAAACAATTTGTTGCCCGTTGCCAAGCTGACTCGCTCCCTCGCCCCATCTCCTTCTCCCTTACTCCAAATCTCCCCGTCTCTTTTTAAGGGCCCCGGATTTTTTTGTGGCGCATCCTGATCCGCTGCACTCTCCGAATACATTTGTAGTAATCACGTGTTATCGCCGCATTTGGACATTTTAAAAGGTCATAACTTAAAACCTTATCGAATGGACGGAGAGGCGAGCGGAAGAAAAAGGAGACACACAGCGAGTTCGAGTTCGAGTTTTGAGTTCGAGTGCGACATGCGACATGCAATGCAATCAAAAACGAAAAACGAAAAGCTGAATACTGAATACTGAAAACTGAAAACTAAAAAAAAAGAACTCACTCGCCGAGAGACATCCAAAAGTAGCCGAAATTGAGCTGAAGGATAACACGAAATGCCAGCGGAGACAGCGGCGTTCCAGCACGCAATCCAATGGCCAAGTGAGCCAGGGGATCCGGGGATCTGGCCAAATCAAGTGGTGGCCCAAAGGGATGGGGATCGGGATGGGGAGCGGGATGGGGATGGGGCCGCCATTACATTCCATTGAGCGCACTCCGATAATGAGCCCCCAACATGCACTCGAAAAATGGAGGGAATTGGCGAAGTCTAAGAGGTTTTGACTTTTTAACCAAACATTAAGAACTAATTTTTCAAGACCCAATGATTTGTATCATTTTACTTCATCAAGTTTTTAATTAAGACCACTTAAATAACTTAATTAGAGTCTCAAATTAGTATTAAACATGGAAAAGAAGAACAGCTATCAATGATTTTTTTATTTACTGTTCCGTGGATTCAATAATAACATTTGAATAACATTCAAGAACTTAACAAAATAGTTTAAGAAATAATTTATAACCGATAATGAGCCCCCAACATGCACTCGAAAAATGGAGGGAATTGGCGAAGTCTAAGAGGTTTTGACTTTTTAACCAAGTACTAAGAACTAATTTCTCAAAACCCAATGATTTGTATCATTTTACCCCATCAAGTCTTTAATTAAGACCACTTAAATAACTTAATTAGAGTCTCAAATTAGTATTAAACATGGAAAAGAATAACAGCTATCAATATCAATTTTATTTACTGTTCCGTGGATTCAATAATAACATTTGAATAACATTCACGAACTAAACAAAAACGTTTAAGAAATAATTTAAAACAAGTTTAAAATGTACCTACGAATTGATTTACAAAAATATAATAAAAAGTTTTCTTGTAAACTTTTTTTATGGACTCAGTATATGGTAACATCTTTAGTTTATTTTTTTTAAATATATATTTTAAGAGCAACAAGTCTACATTATCAAGTGTTTTGAAACAATAAACAAATTTATAGATCTTCAAAATAGAATTGGCTATAAGGTTGATGAAATTAATGGAAACCTCTTACATTTTTTTAAGTGCACCTACGCACACCCTGCCCTCCTCGCAGGACACACTTTCTGGAGACTTGTGGTGCGCTAAAAGCGAAATGATAAGCTGACAGCTCCGGAGTAAGTAGGCGACCGACCTTAGCCTCCTCCTCCTCCTCTTCTTCCTCCTCCTGCTCCACCTCCGCCCTCGAATCCCCTTTGAGTCCACTTCCTTTGGCGACGCCGGCATTTTATGATAGCTCCAGGGGGGCAGGCCATGCAACTGAATGGCCAATGAATCTCTGACTCTGAAATTGCGACCGCAGATGAGTCACAAACACACGCGTGCGATGGGATCCGCATTAGAGAGTAATTCCCAAAACGGATCCGAAAAGCCGACATGGGATTCTTCCCAATACAGCCTGTCCATAAACATATTTATGCTTAATTCCAAATCGAATTTGATTTCCTGAAAATTTGGTTAACATTTTGTGGTTATTAAAAGTTTTATTTGCACTTAAATAAATATTTATTGGTTAATATAATTCGGGGGACTTAAGTTTAATAATTAGTTATAGGAAAAATATTAATTTGGAATTTAAATATTTTCTTAGAATTTTATATGGATAAATCAGAGATTTATATAAATCGATTTGTTACCGTATTCGTATAAAAATTTATATTTTTAAATTGTAAAGATGTTTAGTCCAATAAAGTGACACAGAATGGTTGTTCAAAGAGGTTGTTGTAAGAGGGTCCTTAGAAATATCAATTAAAAGGAACTTCAGTCAGCTGAATTTTAATTTACATTATCTGAAATGGTCTTTCCTCTTCGAGTATTATAAAACCCCTTAGATCTTCACAGACCGCATGTTATCCGTTCAGGCATCTGCTTCATTCCGATATCGATCCGCATTTGATGGCATTTCCCGACTTTCGCCAGCGGCACAAGTCCTTTCCCTTGGATCGATGAGCCGTGTAAATGGGATTCTCCATTTCAGAGCGATAGTTCGGGAATGCCTTCTGGCTCTCGGATATCAAAGTAATTACGTTCCCAACAACGAAGTTGCGCCAGGGGAAAAAAAAAAGAATAGGAATGCCCGGCTATTCATTGTTACCAATTTTTATGGAGAAATGAGATACCTAGAGGTACGGATCCGATTATCATCTAGTTTTTCCCCGACCCCTGAACTTTGTGTGTTGACATTCCCCGCTTTCCCATTTCTTGTGACAATTTCTACGAAAACTCAATACAAACACAAACATATCGTCCCTAGATGATGCCTAAACACTCCCATTCAATGACAAACGTTAAATTTACGACAATGCCTTTTCGAGCAGGTAAAGAACTCAGGTGAATAGTGAATGGGGGAAGGGGTAGTTCAACCTAGGGGTTGGGGCAGATGGCTATCGGAGTTGGACCGCAGTCGAAGTCGGCACAGATGACTCATCAAATTAGCGTCCAGGGCGCGGGCGATAAGCGTCCATGCGAAGGATTAGGAGCGAGGATGAAAGGAGAGTCTGATTGTTGGAAAGTGTACCCGAAATGTGCTCATATCATTTTACAAACAGTCGAAACCACTCGAGACTTGTATAGTGTTGCTTTCCCCATTTGCTGGGAAATTCATGGATATTGGGACCACCCTCGCTGGCGGGAAAACACTTTCGACTGGTTATTAATTGCCACGGATTTGTGCTTAGTTAATTGGGTTTGGGCTTGGGTCGGTGGTTGGGAACCTGTGACAACCATTACATTAGTCTTTGAATAGCCATAAATACTATTGTGATTTAGAGAGAGCTCAATTAATTAAAACTCTGTAAGTATTATTTTTTTATTGGCAGATTTATCTTATAATTGGAATATAACTTTATTTATTTTATGTTTATTTTAAGTGATTCTTACTTACAAAATCAATAATTGCTTTACTAAAAACAGTAATAAACCCTTCCTTCTGCAGAGAAAAATCATTATTATTTTCCACAAATAAACAAATATAAATACATAATAGTCTAATAATAACAATTACAAAATAAATTTTCCCTTTAATAATATTACGAAATGTTTTGAAAATAAAAATACTCTACGGATGTAAGCTTGAGATTATTTACTTAGATTACTTAGATTAGATTACTTTGATATTATACCTTAATTAACATACCTTTAATGGATGTTATTAGAGTTTTGGTATTGAAGTTTTTAACAAACTGGGAACCAAATAGTGTTTTTTTTTTTAATTTCCATAATTCGCCATCTATAAAGGAGACTATATAAATCAATACGTTTATTGTTATTTTGACTGCATCATTTTGTTTGTACAGATTTTCTCTTCTTATAACCCTTCCCTAGTGGATTCCCCGCATTAATTTTGGTGAAACTGAACCACCTCCCCCCTCCCCCCGAATCACCCGTGTTTACAGTTATGGCTCGCAATTATCCGTTCAATTTGCACAGGAAGCTTTTGTCGCGCAGTCGCGGCTGCGATAATCCGACAGCAAAATATGCGAACGTTAATTACGCTTTTGGCGAAACTCTTACGCACTCCGATGCTTCGATGCTCCGATGCTTCGATGCTTCGATGGTCCGATGCAGATGCAGATGCTCCTGCCAGTTGCAACTGCTTCTGCCCCTGCCCCTGCCTCTGCCTCTGCCTCTGCCTGCCACTTGCCACTTGGCACAGGCACTTGGTAGCAGCGGCTGACAACGATGCCTGACGGCAGATAATGCTGATCGCATGAATGATGGAAGGAATCGAGCGGGAATACGAGTTCTGTGATCGATTAGGGGGCCAATCCAGAATGCAGAACCCCGAGCCAGTTGATTGAAAGCTTGCAAATTGTCGGGGGCATCTGGGATCCGTGCGGAGTGCCTCCAAATGGCAGCACTTATAGAGCCCGGTGTCATTGGCCCGGCTTACAGTCAAAACCACCCAGGTGGATAGCTGATGAGATGGCTAGCTTGGATCACATCTCTGATCGGATGGGATTGCAGTTGCCCC